CCTGAGCAGCTTTGACTACTTATACCAAGTGTTGTGTCTCATTCTCAGTACATTTTACAGACACCCTTGTCTGTCGAGATCCTTAACAAAGGATGTTAAACAGCATTTTTAGGAATTCTGGGAATACTGGCAAGCTGAAGGTGCTAGCAAGCTCTCCTAAAACTTATTTCCCATAGATTTGAAGGCCTCAGTACCTCCAGGGGCAGGTTCCAGGCGATGTAGAACCATCTTCCAAACCTGTCCCTCCCTTAGTACCACCCTCACCACATGTCCTGAATTTGAGTCAGAGGTCCCAAAAACCCCTTATCTTCATCTTCTTCATCTTCACCCTCATCTCCTCTGACCCTTCTGGGAGGGTTTCAAGGCTCCTGAGCCGTTTTGACTACTTATACCAAGTGTTGTGTCTCATTCTCAGTACATATTTACAGACGCCTTTGTCTGTCGAGATCCTTAACAAAGGATGTTAAACAGCATTTTTAGGAATTCTGGGAATACTGGCAAGCTGAAGGTGCTAGCGAGCTCTCCTAAAAGTTATTTCCCATAGATTTGAAGGCCTCAGTACCTCCAGGGGCAGGTTCCAGGCGATGTAGACGTGCCACTTGTAGTCGTCCATCCACACCTCGGCCACGCGCAGCGCGTTGCGCTTGGTGTAGAACCCGATGTTGTTGTTGTAGGGCTTCTTCTTGCGCTCGATGTGGGCCACCCTGGAGCAGGGCAGGACCTCCATGCTGCCCCCACACAGCCACACCTGCAACACAACCCACAGAACCGTCAGCAGGACGCTCTGGGCAGGGGAAAGGGGCAGCAGTGGTGGGGGTTGAGCAGAGCTGGGAAGGGGAAACCCACGGCCACGTTTGGCCTTTGCTCATAAGGGGGAATTTGTCCCCTCTCCAAGGCACTGGGGTTGGAAATAGATGAGCTATAAGGTCCCTTCCAACCCAAACCACTCTATACTTTACAGGATTACAGAATATGCTGGAAGGGACCCCCGAGGATCATCGAGGATAAAAAGGGAGAAAAGGAATGCTAAAAGAAAAAGAAAGAATTAATTTTTTATAGTGTGTTATAACCCTCTCCTCTCACTTCCATTCCCTGCTGGAATGGAGGTGGGCTGAGATGGTCAGGTCCATTCAAAAATCATATTTTAAGGAGATGGCACATTAATACCAAGATCTGGTATATCATGAATAGCCTGATGTGGCAGCTTGGCCCTGATCCTCTGGGAAAGGTTTTCCAGAGGAAAGAAACCTACAGGTACAGCAGCAAAAGTCCTTTCTCTGTTTCAGCAGGCTGTGGAGTCTCCTTTGCTTTTTCCTAGAGGTTTCCAAGAGAATTTATTAGTTCAGGATGAAGCTGTGTTGGGATTTCCAGCAGGATCACAAAATCACAGAATGTTCTGAGCTGGGAGGGACCCCCAAGGATCAGGGAGTCCAACCCTCAGCCCTGCACAGGCCCAGCCCCAAGAGTCACCCCCTGTGCCCCAGAGGATCAGCCAAACCCTCCCTGAGCTCTGGCAGCCTTGGGGCTGTGCCCACTGCCCTGGGGAGCCTGGGCAGTGCCCAACCAGCCTCTGGGGGAAGAACCTTTGGCTGAGATCCAACCTGAGCCTGCCCTGACACAGCTCCAGGCCATTCCCTGGGTGCTGCCACACCGTGTAGGATCCAGAGCTGAGTTTACAGTGATGCTGCTCCCAAATAAAAAGGATTAAGCAACTGGAACAGTTCAAACAATTGCAAGATCTCCTCCTGCAGAAGGGATGAGTCAGTGGAACATATGGCAGGGACAGATTTCTCCCACTTGAAAACATTTGTTCATTATTGTTCTTTCACGTGCTCTTTAAAATTCCCTTAAATCACACTTTCCAAGTTATCAAATCTTTTAAGATCTTCTCTTTACCTCACAGAAAAGGGAATTTGCAGGAGGACTTGCCACACCTGGGTTCTTCCCTCCCTGTTTGTCACCACTAAGAAGTTATTTACCTTACAGCCAGGTCTGCAGGACACCAGGAAACCATTCCAAACACACATGCCAAGCAGGCCTAATAATGCCAGTGTTCCCAATTCTGCAGGCTGCTCTGCATTAGCATTTTGCACAGTTATTATAACACCCAGTGTTTCTGGGATCTCTTCCAGGCTCACCACCTTTCCTCCCATCTGTGGTCCCGGATTTTTACCGACCCTGCTCCGTTGGCTCTTCCAGCAGCACCAGGAGCCTCCTGCCTGGATCAGCTGCCCCAGGGGCACCTCTGAGGGGGAGTTTTAGCCCCCCCCAGTCCAGGGCACGTGCATGTCCCAAGCCCAGGTGACCCAAACAAGGACACCTTCGCTGGTGCTCTGCCTGCTGTTCTCTCTCCTGCTGCAGGAGAGGAGCCCACACCAAAAATAAGCTCCATTTTATTAGTTTGTGCATGAACGTGAAGCAGAAAAACCCCATCCTGCTCCTGCTCTGCTGTTTGACCTCTCAGAAGACTTTTAAATACAATTTCCTGCCTGCAGACTGAAATCAGAGCTGAGCTCTGAGAGGGTCATCATCCCTCCCATCCTCCCACACCCCACCTCTGCCCAGCCAAGCCCTCCAGGTCTGCTCCAAGATTTGCAACAGAGCAAACCAGACTGGAACAAGGCAGTTCTAAAGGAAAAAAAATATATATTTATAAAGTTTTATTCCCAAGGCAGTAGACAGGAACTGCCTGTGTTTCTTGCCTGCTCAGTTCTTTAGTTTCTCAACCTCTTGGTGAAATCAGAACATTGAGTTCTGCCCTTGGGTGCTCCCAAAGGTGCTGGGTTCAACCACAACACTGAATAAACCTGCCAGTCCTGGGTGACCTCAGCACCACCTGGTTCTGTAGGTTTGGGGATTTGTTTGGGTTTATCCTGATTTGAGGTTAGAAGAATTATTTTAAAACTGTAAAATTAATTAAAATGTCATTTTCCAGCAGCCTGCCTCCAGTCACACAGTCCCACTGTTGTTCTTCTGTGCTTTAGTTAAGTAATTCATGTCAACTTTCTTAAATTTCTGGAATATCTGTACAAACTACCTGGAAATTCACCTACTGGAGTAACCTGAGTGCCTGTGTACACATCCATGAGTCAGTTCCAGAGAGATCAATACAAATTAAATCCAAAAATTACACAAGGAAAGACCAGACTTCTATCTGCCTGACCTGTCAGCATAAATTTTTAAAAAATCTGGTTTTACGAGGCATTTCTGAGGAGTTCTGCTGGTTTATCCCTGCACTGACCACGACTGAACCCCAGAGAAGCAGAAGGACTCAGTGGATCTCCATCCTCACATGCCTTGATGTCCCAGCCTGTAGCTCTCAGGCCCTGAGGGCAGAAGGTTCTCTGGGAACCCTCATTTATGTCCCTATTTGTCCCACAAAAGACCTGTAACACAGAGATTTTCTTCCTGTTAAGGAACCCTACTGGATTTTTCATGTTCATGGCAAATAAACCCACAGTCCCTTCATTTGCTGCAAAGAAGAGCATTAACAGGACAATCAGCCTGGAGTTTTTCTAATGCTTTGAAGAATTATCTCCTAATGGATAGGTAATCAAGAAATTAGGTAATCAAGAACCAGAACACCAAAGCTAATAAAAAAAATAGGCGTTGTCAAATTAATTCATGTTTGGCCTATTTAACAAGGCAGAGTCTTTATATTGCATCCTGCAAAGGATGAAATCATAGAATCACAGGATGGTTTGGGTTGAAAGGGACCTTAAGGATCATCTCATTCTCACCCCCTGCCATGGGCAGGGACAACTTCCACTAGCCCAGGTTGCTCCAACCTGGCCTTGGTCACTCCCAGGGATGGGGCAGCCACAGCTTCTCTGGGCAGCCTGTGCCAGGGCCTCCCCACCCTCACAGGGAACAATTCCTTCCCAATATCCCATCTAACCCTGTTTTCTTTCAGTATGAAGCCATTCCCCCTTGTCCTGTCACTCCATGTCCTTGTCCCAAGTCCCTCTCCATGGCTGGCCCCTAAAGGCACATTTAAGGCTCAAGGGAGATGATGTAACTCAGCAGGTTAAATATGATGACCAAGTCTCAAGTTTCCCCCTTGTTTTCTGACATTCAGATTCCCACATGACCATTAACTTGCCATTCATTCACCCAGAAACTGATGCAGAATTAAAAATAGAATCATCCCCCTCCAGTGAATGAGGGTGACTCAATAATGTCTCCATCACTCCACACACAGGAGGGATCAAAACCCATGGAAAGAGGCTGGCATTTATAAATAACCAGTTAACACTGAATTCTAGTGAAGAGATCCCAGGGAAACAAACAGAAAACAAATCCATCACCCAGAGATCTTTGATGTGTTTTGCAGAAAGCTGCTGGGTGAGACACTTGCAATTATTTTCCAAGCAAAATGTCCTAAGAATTCAACGTGGAAAAGGAACCATTTGTCTCAAGCAGTGAAATGTCCGAGTACAGCTGGCACTGCACTGACAATCCACTTTCTAGAAGCTTCTGCAGATGTGAAAAGGAGCCTTGGGGGGATGTTTTTGCTCTCTGCAACTCCCTGGAAGGAGTTTTGAGACAGGTGGGGGTCGGGCTCTGCTCCCAGGGAACAAGGGACAGGAGGAGAGGGAACGGCCTCCAGCTGTGCCAGGGGAGGGTCAGGTTGGACATCAGGAGGAATTTCTCCATGGAAAGGGTGGTCAGGCACTGGAAGGGGCTGCCCAGGGATGTGGTGGAGTCCCCATCCCTGGAGGTGTCCAAGGAAGGCCTGGAGGTGGCACTCTGGGCTGGGGGACAAGGTGGGGATGGGGCACAGGGGGGACTCGATGGGCTGGGAGGGCTTCTCCAACCCTAATGGTTTTATGACTCTGCGATTCCATGATTCCAGGAGATGGGTTTGGATGCTCAGATGCTGCTGAGCACAAGGGGCTGCTGCCTTGGCCCCCACCTCAACCCTTCCAGCAGGTCAGAGCTGCTTCCTCCACCCTGTGCTGTCCCCTCTGCCCACCCCTGGGGCTCTCCTGGGTGCAGGGGAGCAGCACTGGAGTCCAACCAGCACCACTGAGCAGCACAGGACACCCACAGGGGAAGGCACAGCCACAGCTCTAACAAAAGAGCAGGGAAAAACCTGGAAAATACAGGTTTAATGCATAAATATTAAGGAAACTTGGTCCCCTCCCCAGGCTCCTGCAGGCAGTGGAGCAGTGCTGTGGTGCCACTGCCAGGGAGGGGAAGACACAATTATTAACTCCAGGAGAGTGTTTTCATCAGCAAACACTGAGGCAGGAGCTGCTTCCCCCGGGATGGCAGCAGAACTCAAACATCCCCCTTCTCCTCACTGCAAGCCCTGCAAGGGAACTCGGGCTCACAGCTGGATTTTGCACAAGGAAAGATGATGGTGGGGAAAAGGAATTCTGCAAGAGCAGAGGGGAAAATGGGGCTGGTGCCTCTTCTTCCTCCAGCCAGAGCAGTGCCAGGGTGGTGTCCTGTCCCAGCACCTCCAGGGGGAAACCAGAGTGTTGGCACCTGGACTCTGCAGAACAAGAATTATAACAACAATTATAATATAATAGTTATTGTTGCTATTATTATAGGAAGAAGAAGAGGAGGAGGAGGAGAAGCAGAAGAGGAACAGGAAGAGGAAGCAGAGGAAACAGAAGAAGCAGAAGATGCAGAAGAAGAAGCAGAAGAAAGAAGGAGAAGGAGAAAGAGGAGAAGGAGAAAGGAGAAGAAGAAGAAGGAGAAGAAGGAGGAGAAGGAGAAGGAGAAGGAGAAGGAGAAGGAGAAGGAGAAGGAGAAGGAGAAGGAGAAGGAGAAGGAGAAGGAGAAGGAG